TGTTATACATATTTTTTATATTCATTAATTATAGATGAATTAGGAGATATTATTCATAATATATCTATGGGATTTAAATTAAATACAAAATATGTTAAAGATGTAATATTTGTATTAAGTTGTTATACAGGAAATTATATTTATCATAATCGAATGGTTGCAAATTTATTTGATAAAGTTAGAATCTTTATTACTACAACACCTTATAATAAATCACAAGTTCCTGATATGTTAGCAACAATTGAAGAATTAAAACAATGTCTTGTTTATAGAACAAAAGTAGAAAAAAGAACACAATCATTAGATTTAGAATTATATAAAATAAAAAATCCAAGTCAAGAACAACAACTTAAACAATGTGATGATTTACAAATATTATTACAATCACTTCAAACTATGGATTTTGGTTCAGTTACATTTAGACCTAAATTTGGATGTTATGTAATAGAATCAGAAGAAAAAGAAAAATTACTTGATTTAAAAGAAAGAATACGAAAGAATGAAGATATTTCAAAAGAATATATTATTATAAGAAATGAAATATTACAAGAATTTATTCGTTTAGTATTTCATCTTAGTTTAGAACATTGTATGTTAATAAGACAAGTTGGAGAAACATTTGATTCTAAAAGAATATTATATCTTGAATTTTATGTTTCAGTTATTGTTTCTCAAACAAAAATTTTATATGACATTATTAAAATTATTTATCCTGGAAATGAAGTAATGTTAAATGAACAATATTTAAAATTACTTGATATTCAAAAAGAATGTTCATTAAAGAATATAATGAAAAAACCTATTAATGTTTCTGATGTTCCAAAAAGAATTTTTGAAGTATTTCAACCAACAACTAAATTTGATAAAAGAATTGATAGTTCTGGAATAGGAATTAATGATGATATTACATATTTACCATTTTTTTCATTTCTTCAATTTGAAGAAACTATTATTTCATCATTATTAAAGAATGAAAAAGTAGATGAAATAAAAATAGAGATATTTAAAGATGCATTACAAATGATGTGTGATAAATTATCTTATAAAATAGACTTTACTCATATAAATGAATTGTTTCATATAAATAAAATTTATCAATTAAAATCTATAACAATTAATCTCTTTCGTTTAAATGAATTTTATACTACAGACGTTCCTTCATCATTTAAATTATGTGGGGAATTATTTATTGGATTTTCACATTTATATTATATTATAGCAAAAGATCCACAAGAATTATTTGAAAAAGGAATGAAAAGAATGAATCGAGTAATTGAATTCTTTTCAATAGAAACAAAACATATGTTTCTTGATCAATTTAAACATACTCTTTCACCTGAAATTATTAGAAATGTTATGAAATGTGTAAATGTTATTATTGATTCAATAATTATTAAAAAAGAAGATCAATGGATATTTTCAACAGATTTTGGAAAAAGAATATTATATTCTCAAATGTTAGACTTATTTAATTATTTTGGTTTAAGAACTGGATTAATGTATATTCATTGTTTTATGAGAAGAGACTTCTTATGTAAGAGAGAAGTTCCTTGGGTAGTTTTTTCATGTGTAACTCAAGTATTAAAACATCTTCAGAGTATTATGTTAATAAAGGTTGATGACCTTACTCTTGATAATTGTATTAAACTTTTAAAACAAAGAATTAATGAAGTTGTTCCTGTATCTTTTGATTGGAGTATTTTATCAACAAGAATAGGAGAATTACAATTACTTTTAAAGAAAGATCCAAATTCTATTTCTAAAATTGGTCTTCTTAAATCTCTTATGCATTTATTAAGAGCTTGTATTAGTTATTCTTTTAATACAGATAATAATAAAAATTTTAGACAAATGTTTGACATTATTGAAGTATTACATAAAACAATTCATGCATTTGATTTTAATCAAACACATGATGTATTTATTCAAACATTTAAAAAACATCTTCCATCATTAAATAAATGTATTGAAAAAACAATTTCAATAGATCCATTAATTAACGCATTTTTTGCCTTTAAAACATATCAACCTTTATTCCAAAAGTTATCAATATCAATGATTAATGAATGTCCATTCTCTAAAATTTTAAAATCTCTTATTGAAGAAAATATAAATGGAAAATTCAATTCTATTTTACTTACAGCTTTATTAAAACCATTTCAAAGATATCGTTATTATGAACCAAAATTAATAATGTTATTAAATGAATTATATGTATTACAACAGTCTCAAGATATTCATTCATTTTCTCCTGAATTTGGAACAAGATATTATAGTGCTTCAATTGAAATTCATGATATTATTACTATTTTATTTAATTGTATTGAAGTATTTAAAATGGTAACATCAAATGTATTATTAGAAAGTGCAGCTATTGAATTTAAAGAAATAGTTATGAAGTCTGAAAAAGAATTTAAAAATATGGAGACTTTAATTACAAATGAAATGATTATAGCAATTCAACAAAGTCTTAGAAAATGTTTTATTATTTATTCATTTATAGTTTCATATCGTTCAACTCAATTATTAACACAAACATTTTCATCAGGTGATAGAATTCAATTAATTAAAGTATTAAAAGAAGTTTTTCCATTAATTCTTGGAGATGATATGATTTTTAATGATGATGAATTTAAAGGAGCAATTTATCCATTGAAAATATATGAAGAATTATTAACATTAATTAGTACAGAAAACTCTTTTATTCAAAATAAACAAAGAATCAATGAATTATTTGAACAAATTTTATTATCAATTCATTATTGTCTTGAATATCTTCAATTAGGAGAAATGATGATGATTACTTGTATTGAATTTATAAAGAATAAAAAATATATTAATGAATCGTTAAAATATCTTGAACAAGCATTTGAAATGACAAAATCAATAAAAAGTATAATTATTAAATATGCTGATTTTATTAATCCATTATATGGATTAAATCTATGTTCTTCAACATTAGAAAATAAAATAAAACAAATTCAATCCCAACCATTAAATACATCAGAAATATTAAAAAGTCTTATTTCTGATATTCATCAAAAAGTATATGGAACAATAATATTTAATTATTCTTTTCCAGATAATTGTAGAAAAGTATTATCTATTACTAAATCATGGAAAGAAACACAAAGTTTATCAGAATTACTTAGATTATTTGGTGGGATTTATTCAAATGTTGGTAATGAAAAAACAAGGTCTTTCTTTAGAGAAGGATTTATTTCTGAAATAATGGTTTTAGTCCATAATTTTTTGACAAATGGAAGTTATCAATCATTCCAATCATTATTAACTCAAGAAATAAAAAATATTAATATTACTAATTTCCAACAATTTAATAGAAATACTATCTTCCAACAATATAAAAATATTATTAAAAATTCAATTTGTCTTGGATTTCAACAAATACAATTAGCTGCTGAACTTACTCATAAATCATTTAAATGTCATGCACTTAAAAAAATGGAGTCTGATAATGATAATAATATTGTAACAATACTTTCTACTGAAGAATTACAAAAAATTCATACTTTTATTCAAACATTTAAAACAGATGATGATATAATTCTTGAAAGTGAAGGTATTGTAACTTGTAGTGTAAGTTATGACCAAAGAATGTTAAAACATTTAAAAAATGTTATTCTTCAATTAGGAAAACCAAAAGACCAAATGTTTATTAGAAGTTATGTTGTTATTAGAGCTTTTATTGATTATTATGAAATTATGCCAATTCAAGAAGTATATAGTAAAATTGTTACATTATATACTCTTCTTGAAAAATTTGTTGAAACTGTTTATGCTGATTTATTATGGAAAAATGTATTTGAAACTTTTTATCTTAATGACAATATTGTTATTGACTCTATTACTCTTCAAGAACCAACTAAAATTAATCAAAAAATTCCTTTATTATTAAAAGAATTTGAAAATGTTGTTGTTACTTATTATAAAAATCATAGTAGTGACTTTTTCAGTGGAGAAATACTTAATTGTATTGGTATTTTATTCAATTCATTACAAGACATAGATGTAAGTCCGGAAGAAAATAAAATCTTACAATTAATTGTTATACAACTTCTTCATTTACACGCTAAAGTTAAAGATGATACTATTATTGAAGATATTTCAATGAAATATTTAAACACAAAAATAACTACTAATGAATTATGTATTATAGTAGAAAAAATGTATAATGTGGTTGTATCAATATCAGAAAATAATGATTCAATTTTATTATTAGTGAAAAGTTTAGCAAAATATTGTGAAAAAACAACTCCAGAGTTTAATTCTATTATTCCTAAAAATGCACTTAAAAGACAACAACTTAAAATTGCTTATTCAACAGAAAATTGTTTACTTCAAACTATTATTAAAAATTGTAAAAATCCTTTACTTGTTAAATATGGTAATTTAATTTCTGGTGACTTCTTTATATTATGGAAATTAGTTGATGTTTCTCATTCATCTAATTTTGAAGTTAATATTGAAAATCCTTATAAAATCTATTCGGGAATTGCTAAACTAATGAATAGAAGTATTGAAAGATTAGTACCACTTCTTGATGGTGAAAAAACTGGTTTCTCACTATCTTTTGAAGGTGTAGATGTTATTGAAATCAAATTAGTATCTAATGTTGATAAAAAACTTGTCAATAATATTTATAACGTTGCAACAACATTTGAACGTGGAGACACTCAAGAAACAATTAAAAGTATTGAAGACTGTTTAGATTTAATCTTATCTACTCTAACCCCACCATTTTCTAAACACTTATACCATACTTCTGACATATCTTGGGATCGTTGGTTTTGTGCATTTAGATTAAAAAATTGTTTCATTGACCTTATGTATGCAGTTTTGAGTTATACTTCTCAACACAGTGAATTAGATGATTTTATTAATCTTGTCACTAAAACTTTTAGAGACATTATTCTTCTTGCTAACAAATTGGCAGAATTTAATTAAATATTTTCTTAATTAAAAGTCAATTATGTTTAGATTTAAATTAAAACAAACATTAAGAGACAAAAGACAGCAATATAGATGGAAATAGAACCATCAACCACTTGACTACTAGAATCATCAGTTGAATTAGAGTCTATCTCTAATCTTTTTCTACTGAATTTGATGTCATTGAAATAAACAAATGACTTATCATTGGATAATGTTTGATAGATTTGAATAGAAACATATTTAATAACAGAACCACATCGTGGGTCAAAGGCGTTATTTCTAATATTAACACATGTCTCTGTGTTATTAGTTACACCATTAACAACAAGTCCTGTATCTGGTGACTCATCATCCCTAAATTCATGTGGGTACATTCTCACTTTAAATTTCAACCTAGAGTCTTCTGATGTCCAAAATACAGTCCAACACAATTGGTCTAACTCTACTGTGTTAGCATATCCATTAAATTTAAGAGTATCAAAACGTTGTACCTCTCCTCCAAGCCAATATGTTCCATTAATTTCATAATCATAATAATCAATTAATGCAGAATCGTTTAATTCCCATCCACGTTCCTTATTAGCATAAACAATTTCTCCAGCTAAACTTTTTGCGATTAAAATTACAAATAATACATACATTTTCTTCTTATTTTGAATGTTTCTCTTCTTGTTCTTTGGGTTTTAAATACTTTCTTTTTTCGTTTTGACACAACTGATTGAATGATTTTTTTCTATCTTATATAGCAAAACGTATCACCTCCCTCTTTTAAGAGGATCTCATTTTGTCATTGTTTTTAGTGTCTATAATATTATTGTGCTTCTCCAATTTTGTTGCTAAGAAATGTTATTGTTTGGATTAATCATTTATCATTATTTATACCCCACAACTATACTTTGCTGAAGATTGTTTTAAGTTTTTTTTTGTGTCTTGTTCTTAAATCTATTATTTGCTTGATACTATTATTTCATCATCTTCTCTTATTTATGATTAATTCTATACCAGAATTGAATATCTTCTATTGTTCTAATAATGTCTTCATTATTGATTCTCTTCTAATGTATGCTTGTTAATTAGTTACTTATCATTAAAATTATTTTTATTTTCTATTTGATCAGTTGCTTAGGTATTTTTTGTCTTTCCTTACTCCTTTTTTTTTCGACACCTTTTTTTAAATGATTTTAGCCTCGAAGATTTTGTTTACAGTGATGGTGTTAACTAGTTGGTTATCTATTTTTTAGTTTTATTCAGATACCTTTTTGTTTGGCAATAAATGGTATGAGATAATGATGGTATAATCACAATCAACTCATTTGACATTTATTTTCTTCTTAGTTGTTATAAACTTCTGTTAAAATTCTTGTACTTTAATGCTGTAACTTTAATTTTGTCGTTAGTAAATTCTATTTCTTGCATACTAAAATATATTTTTGTTTTTGGATAATACTATTTAATCTGTTAATATTTTTTTTCACACTCTGAATATGCATATATCAGTCGCCTTTTCCTTAGATGAATAAATAAATTCCTAATTTATGAAATTAATTCAAAAAGAGAGATAGATAGAAAGTTCTTATGAAGACTCTTAGAATATTCAGATTGAGTCAAAACAACAACAAAATAATAGAGTGTTGCCTTATGAACGTTAATGTGCTTAAAACACCATTTTCTATGAAGGTAATAAATGTTTACATAACAACACATCCTAGTCCTTGTTGTGGTACGTTGTGTATTATTATTAGTTTGTTTATAAGTTACTAACTCCAAGTAATTATAGATTGTATTATCATCCGTTGTGCTACAGAAAAAAGTCATAGATCACATAGAAAAAAAGATCATATTAAAGATTTTGATGGTATTTGCTGTCAAAAGAAGATGAATTAAATTTCTGTAATTGTACTGTGTATCTTTTTAAACCAAAGGATGTTCAATTATGGGGTTTTAGATAAACAAAAATATAATAAACTTAAAAATATAAACACTGACATTACCATGAAAATTGGTTATGCAAACATTAACTCAGAAAGTTCAAGATAGATAGTTGAAAATAACTTTGAAGAAGAAGAAATTCCATTAAACTATAAAAAAATAAAGATGTTCTATTAGTTATTTTTGAATGAAAAAATTAACTGAGTATATTATATTTAAATGAATAAAATTGGATTAAATATCTTTTTTTTCTTGAACAATTGAGTTGTTATCATTTTCTTCTTTCTCGCCTAATTGTTGTTGAATGCCTTTGACTAATTTATTTGCCTTTTCTACTAAATCACTTTTTTTATCACGAGAGGTTACTGAAACATTTGATTGAATCAGAAATTTTTTTAGTAAACTAGCGTTGTAGGTATTTCCTTTTCCTGAACAAATACCACGATATATATCCAACATCATATCATCATCAATTTTAAGTTGTTCCTTTGGTTTTGTAGGACGAATTCTTTTTGTTGGAAGTATAAAATGGTCTTTTACATTTTGAATATCATCAATAGGAACTTCATTGTTTTCTACAGTACTTTCTTGTTGAAGATCAATTTTCATTGCCTCAATGATAGCATTTATTCTTTCTTCCATAACAGGATTTTTTAATGCCATAAAATCAATATTACTTGTTGTACATTTACTAATCAAACTTTTCATAGATTGATTTTGAGAAACATTACAAAGAGTTGAATGGATATTAAATTCTGGTTCAGAAAGAAGTGGAGTTAAAACATCATCAATATATGGTAAATAAATCATATATAACCCACTTGGTATAAATTCTGAAGTAGATTTAACTGGAACAATAGCAACATCTTTCACTTGAGATCTACTAAAGAAATCACAACGTAATGCTTGTTTCTCTTTTAATAATGTTTGATAAAGAGCGTCATACCATCCATTATCTTCAGTAGGACGAATAAATGAAGCAGAACTTGTTGTAGATTGAAGGAAATCTTGTGATATTTTACCTTTAACGACAATACTATTTCTATACTTTTCTTCAATAGTATGTAATTTTTGATACTCTTCTTCAGTAAAAGTAATTTTTTCAGACCCAAATGAATAATCCCAAACATCTCCTTCATTATGAGCAGTTAATTCTCTTTTTTCACCATCTGGCATTTCTTCTTTTCTTATTTTACCAATTACTACCCTCCATCCTTCTTTTTCAACAAGTACGTTACCAAGAGTTGAAGCGGATATAGATGTAGAAATGTTATTAACTATAACCTTTATTCTACATCCTTCGTATGGAATAAAGTCATAATAATATCCAAAACTTTTATGAAACGAAATACAAACTCTTTCAAGACGATTCAATGGGAAGCATTTAAAAGGAAATTGTGGAATTTGGTATTTACTTGAAAAAAATATAGGTTCTGGTGGATTATTTATTATATATGCATTTATTTCTGGTGTAATTTGGTGATGAGTAAAGAATTGAGGAGGAACAACAAATACTATTCTTGGTTGGTTAATAATATTAGCAGCTTGAAATATTTTATGAGTGGCTTGAAATGCATTAATTAATGGAATTAATTTTTTGGATGGTTTGATATTATCAAAAAATGTACGATATTCTTCTAACAGTTTAATTGTTGCATTTTGCAAAATGTGAACATTTTGAATACCTTCAGCAAGTGACTTTGTACTGTTTTGACTTCCATAAAATATCAATCCAAATCTATCTTTTGGATAAAAAATTGGTGTTTGTTTCATCATTCGAATCATAGCTTCAGTTATTTCTCTATCAAATGGTTGATCATCATATGAATGACAATCGACAATAAAGACAATTCCTTCTTTAGGTTTTATGAAAGGTTTCTTCTCAGGAAGCGCATCATTATTTTCATTCTGAAAATTTCTGTCTTGACCACATTCTATGTCTTCAAAATAATCTTCGTTTTCCATTAATTAACTATTATTAAAGAAAAAAAAAATAAAACTTTAATTCATTTTTATTTTATTTTATTTATTTTTCATAAGAATAGTTTAAACCCGTTTTAATGAAGAACTTTTCACAGAAAAATTTATTAGATGATAAATTAAAAACACAATTGTTAATGTTTTTTTTTTTTTAATTTTGTTTCATTCATCCAAAATAAATTAAAAACTAAAAAGAAAATCGAGTTTTCTATGTCGAAGGATTCTCTTTTAGGTAGAAGAAGGAAGAATTGGAAGTGAAGAAGTGGACTGCTCAAAATAAAGAAGAGAAGAAGCAATGGAGAGATTCCATCAAGAAGAAAGAATTCGATAATCAATCTGAAATGTTCTGGAAGAAAAATGACAAACATTATAAAAAGACAATCTTGGAATAAGAAAGGTATTAATTCTTGCTATGTGTGATATTGAACTTGTTGACATTCAAAACAGAGATTGCCTTCGTGCTCAAAGAAAAGAAATTACTGATTATAACAAAACTTTCAAACCACAATATAGTGAATCTGAAATTGTACATGAAGCTAGAAGATGTTTATATTGTGCTGAACCAAATTGTATGAGATGTTGTCCAACTCAATTAGATGCTAAAAGAATGGTTCATGCTGCTGGAGAACATAATTTCTATGAAGCTGCTCGTGTTGCACTTACTGCTAATCCACTTGCTCTTTCATGTGGACATCTTTGTAGTGCTGAAGAATGTTGTAAAGCTGGATGCAACTTGTCCAAAACACATGCTGGTGCTATTGATATTAATGCAATTCAAGCTTTCTCTCTTCAAAGATTTAAAGAATATAGAATTATGCCAACTATTGGTAATGTTCCAGTTATTGAAAAGAGTGTTGCTATTATTGGAGCAGGACCTGCAGGACTTGCTGCAGCTTCATTCTTTGCAAGATGTAATTTCAAGAAGATTGTAGTTTTTGAAAGAAATGCTTATTTAGGAGGAATCTTAAGAAAAGAAATTCAAGAACAAAGACTTGCTAAAGAAGAATTAGATTTTGAAATTGAAATGATTAAATCATATCCAAATATTGAATTTAAATTAAATTCATCAGTTAGTGCTAGTGATATTGCTGGTCTTAGAAAACAATATGATTATGTTTTTGTTGGATGTGGAAGACAAAAACCATATACTTTTGGTGATGCACCACTTGCTCGTGATTTCCTTTATGGTATGTCTGATAATACTATTGATGTTAAAGGAAAGACTGTAGCTATTCTTGGATCTGGTGATGTAGCTGTTGATTGTTGTGAAGCTGCACAAGAACATGGAGCTTCTCAAGTTTTATTAGTAATGAGAGAAGATATTAAAACTGCAACTTGCCATAAAAAATCAATGATTGGAGTTATTGAAAGAAATATTGAAATTATTCCAAAAGTTCTTCCACAAAGACTTGATGCTAAAGGAGTTATTTGTAAAGACCTTTATGATCCAAATGGAATTGAAAGACTTATTCCAGCTGATATAGTTATTTGTGCTTTTGGTTTTGGACCAGATGCTTCATTTGTTGAAGGAACTCCAGATGCTAATGGACTTGTTATGAAAGCTGAAAATGGACTTGGAGCAGTTTATGTTGGAGGTGATTATAGAAGATCATTCTCAATTGTTGAAGCTGTTCATGATGCTGAAGTTGTTGTTGCTTCTATTGCTAAAGAATTTGGAGTTAATAAGATTCCTAAATTCCATACTCCAGTTGATGACGTTGATATTTCAGTTACTGTTGATGGAATTAAATATGAAAATCCATTTGGTATTTCATCTGCTCCAGTTTCAGGTACATATGATCATTTAAAGAGATGTTTCCAAGCTGGTTTTGGATTTGCTCTTACTAAAACATATCCATTAGAAAAAGATATACAAAAGAATAATCATATCAGAATTGTTAAAGTTTATGATTCACAAGAGTCTACTTCATATAATAATATTGTTATGATTTCTGAACATTCTCATCATTATTGGCTTGAATCAATTAAAAAATTAAAGGCTGAATTCCCTAATAAAGTTGTTATTGCTTCAATTATGTGTATGGATAATGCAGATGATTGGCATCTTCTTGCTAAACTTTCTGAAGAAGCTGGTGCTGATGCTCTTGAATTGAATTTCTCATGTCCAAATGAATGTCATGGTAATGATGGAAATGAAGGTGGATGTGAAGGTGGATTTAAGTCTCATAATGCTATGGCAATGGCAATTGGTGTTTCACCAGCTGCTATTGAAAGATGTACAAGATATGTAGTTGAATCAGTTCATATTCCAGTTTATCCAAAACTTACTCCAAACGTTGGTAATATTGAAGAACTTGCTGCAGCTGCTATGAGAGGAGGAGCTTCTGGAGTTTCAACAATTAATACTGTCTTTGGTATCTCTGAAATTACACTTTCTGGTCATCCATGGCCACAAGTTGGTGTTGAAAGAAATACTATTTCTGGTGGACTTTCTGGTGATCTTGTTAGACCAATTGCTATTAGACAAATTGCTCAAGTATTACGCCATAATGAAAATGTTAGAGGTCATCTTCTTGGAATTGGAGGAGTTAGATCTGCTGAAACTGCTATGCAATTAATTTATACAGGTGCTTCAGTAGTTCAAATGTGTTCTTCAGTCCAAAAATGGAGTTATGATATTGTTGATGAAATTATTTCAGGAACTAAATTCATTTTATACTGCTGGTCAAGACCAGACCTTAGAGGTTATCTTAATAGTCAAGGAGTTGAAAGCTTTATGCCATATGGAGAAAAGACACCATTCTGGACTCTTGATAATAAACAAGATAAACCAGTTCCAAAATTGGCTGAAGTTACTGGTATTGCTTTGAAACATATTGGAGAAAGAAAGATCCTTGAAGGACCAGAAAAATGGAGAGTAAATGCTCACATTAAAAATAATTGTATTGGATGCGGTTCATGTGCTTTATCTTGTCGTGATAACTCAACTACTGCTATTGTTAAGGATGGAAACAGATATCGTGTCGATGATGAGAAATGTATTGGATGTGCTCTTTGTTCATCAGTATGTCCAGTTAATGCTATAGAATATGTGAAAGTTAAAGGTTTGAATGAAATGACACCTGAAGAACTTAAGAAAGTTCCAACAGCTTTCTAAATTTTTTTGAATTGATATTTCAATGATATTTTTATTTTATATTTCTTTTTATGATTTTAAATAGAATTTCATAGAAGCATCAGAAAAGATTTTTTTCTTTTCTAAATCTCAAATTTCTCATTTACATAGTTTCTTATATGAAAGACTTATATCCTCATTTAATGATATATCTTTTTATTGCTGTTGGTGTTTTTATTGTTTGTTAATTTTACTTTATCATTTTTAAAAGGTTATTAAATAACAGATTTCTTCATTACTTGTTATTGGTAGCTCAATTTTTGCATTTGTTACTCAACCCAAATATTATCTTTTGGACGGTTCATCTTTATTAAAAATCAGAGAATTTTTTTTTATATCAGCAATGACTGGAAGTGTAATAATGTTAGTGGTAGTAAGTATTCTTCTCTGTTTATATCCTATTAAAAAAATTCGTTATATTTATGCATTAATTTTTTTAATAGGATGTATATTTTTTGTAGCAATATTCTTATCATCTTTTGCTGCTTTTCGAGAACCAAAAAAGATAAAAACATTAAGCTCAGATGAAAAAATATTTAATGAAAATAAAGTTTGTTAATATTCATTTATTCTTTGTTTACTTCATTCATATTCCAGAATTCTTGTTGTTTTAAAGATAGTTCGCTTAATTCTTGTGGATGTCCAAAACAAAATAAATTTGAATGTCCTGTTTGTGTTGAAGATATTAATGATATTCCATTCTTTATTGCATTTTTATCAAATGCAATTTGTTCATGTACTCTGTTCTCAGGCATTTATTTAAGTTGTCTATATTATTACAAAAAGATCAAAAATGGAGCAGAAAAACATAATATATCAAAAACCCAATATTTCAAAATCAAATTCACTCAGTATTTTTCAAAGAAAGTTTCAGTAGAACAACAAACATTAATTTAATTATTCTGTAATTTATTAATTTTCATCAAATCAATCAATTATTATTTATTCTTTCTTCAAATGCTAATTCTACTTCGGATGGATTAGAATAACTTGCATTCATACGTGATTTTATTTTTTGAGAAAGTTTGAAGTCATTTGAATTTCTACATAATAATAAATATTCAAGCCATAAATTCATTGAGTGATAAGCAAGGTTTTCATGAACTAATGCCTCATCAAATACTTTTTTAGCTTTTTCAATTTCTTCTTGAGAAATAAAGTAATGAATTATCTTCAAATAACATTCTTCATCACAAGTAGTTTTTAACACCCATTCAATGAATGTGTTTAACTCATTTATATTTGTTTTCATAACAGTGTCAATACAATAAATTTTAAGTTTGCTTAAATACTCTCTATTAATGTTTAATATTTCTTTTTTCATTGCCTCAATTTGATCTTCAACTTGTACCTTTTCAATTCTTTCAATAGCATAATCAATGGGTGTTTTAATAACTTCCATCACACCATTGATTTTATTTTTTATTTTATTCTTTTTTTCTTCAGATACTTCTTTAAATACATCATTATCAATTATATCTAAAGCTTCTTGTTTATTTAATGGAGATAATGTATCACATAATACTTCTAAAATTACTTCTTTTGGTTGTTTTTCTTCATTAAGAATATCATGAAGAATTTGTTTCTTTAATTCTTGACCATTTTCTTCATTATAAATAATTGGAATAAATTTACTTTTGAATTCAACTCCATCAATATTCTCAATTCCATTTGTATAAATAATAGTTAAAATCTTCCATAATTTATTAACATTATTTTGTAGTTGTTGAAGACTTTCTTCAATTTCTTTTTGTTCATTAATATTATTCTCTTGATTTTCTTCTTCCATTTTCTTGTCTTTTATTTTATTTAAGTCTTTAAATCGTATTTCAATAGTTTGTTTTATCTTATGAATATAATTTAATTCAATTTTGAAATAACAAAGATATCCTTCTTCTGATTTTTTGTTTATTTCAATAGCAAGTTGCATAATTTTTCTTGCTGTTTGTATGTCACTATTATGTTCTATAATTTCTTGACTTAATGCATTCCATAATGAAAGATCTCGTGAAAAATATTTTAATGCTCGTTGATAAACACTAACTGCAGTTAAATGATAGTCAATACTTTTACACCAATTAGCATATTCCATATAATATGATAACATACGTGGATATCTTCTAATAAGTCTAGAATATAATTGCATAATTCGTTTCTTAAATACTCTTTGAAACTTTTTTTGTTCAATAAACATATCACTCTTTTCTACTCTAAATTCTAACTCTTTATCTGCTTCAATTTCTTGTTCAATAGCATGTTTATATGTTTCATAATTTGATCCAACTCTTCGAAGTGAATATTCTTGTTTAGTCCATCTTTCAATAATACATTTAATTTCATTTTTACTATATAATTGTTTCTTCTTTAATTCTGAAAGACTCTCAACAAATCTCTCACGATATAAATTGATAATATCTGACATTTTGATATGTATTGTTTTCTAGTTTATTTCTTCTTATTTTTGGAAAGAGGGTTTAAAATAACACAAATTATAAATAACAATAATTTATATTAATGAAAGATATGATTTAAGATAAGATAAAAAATCAGTTTGTTGAGTATATTTTATTATCAATAAATAAACATCTTTAACTAATAATTGTTTTGTTCTCATTATTGATAATATATTATGTAATTCATTATACTTATTTTTGTCCATCCAATGAAATTTAATATTAATTTGAAGAGAAGAAGCAACAAGAACTTGTTGAAAATATTTAAGTGTTGGATCATTAGCAAAAACACCACAACCCCATTGACCAGTTGCTATATTTCTTTTAATAGAAGAGAATCCAATATAACATTTATTTAAGTCTCTAATAATATTTTGTTTAGTAAAACAAGAAGAAGTACATGAATCAATAGCAATAACAGCAGTTTGAAAAGTAATTTGAGCTTCATTTTTAATAGATTTCCAACGAAATGTATTTCTAAATCCTGTTGTATTTGATATAGTAAGACAATTATCAATAATAATACATTCATTATATGCCATTGTATCAAAAAGAAGAATAGATAAATAACATTCAGGTTTTACTGCAAACATAATTTCTTCTTGAGTTGCATTTCCAGAAATATTAAATAAATGAATATTTTTATTTGCAAAGTCAATTTGATTTGGATAATCAGATGTTTCTATTCCATTTTCTCCATAAATTGTATCAATTAATTGGTGAGTGTCTTGATCCCAATTAATTACTTTATTAAGTCTTTTTCTAATGAAATGAACTTTTTCGTTTTTTTCGGGATATAAAATCATCACAAAGAAATATGAAATGAGACATAACATCTTTTGTAATCCTAGTTTTGATGTTATAAGAGTATTAAATGATATTGAATGGGTATGACATATTTTTGATCGTTCAATACCAAAAAAACTACAAGCTAATATTCCAAATATTTCATAACGTGTAAAAACAAAATCAGTATCTTGTTGTTGATAAGAATATGGTAATATTATTAAATTATTATCTTTTTGAAATAATGGATTTGAACTATGAATTAAATTTTCTAATGCATCTTTCATATGTTTAATAAACCATTGAAAAAAATCAATGTAATTACAATCATGAAGAATAGAATGTTGAACTGACGTAAAAAAGATTTGTAATGCTTCTGAAATAAAATGAGGTTGTTGTTTATATTGGTTATTTAGACTTTTAGACATTTGGTTTTGATAAAATATTTCAATATCATTATCAGAAATGAATTGAGTTTTTATTACTTCTTTGATTAACTGAGTTTGTAATTGGTACTGACTGTTTTGTCTTTGTTGGATAGTCATTGTTATGACTTTAGTTTTCGTTATTTACACTTTTTTTCTTTTCTTGAATTGAAATAACAAAAAATTCTGACAATTGATAAAAAATAATTTTTAACATTATCTTTTTTCTTTTATTTTGGAGTTTTTTTCCTTTTTCTGTTTTTACAACTAACACGTGGCTGCGAATTTAAAAAAGATATTGAAGGTTTCTTACTCTGTTTCTTATTCAACTTTGGTTTATTCTGGTTGGTTGAAGTTTCTGTGAATTTAGTCTTCAAAACACCAAGAATAGCTGTTTCAAGAGCACGTTTTAAATCCACAGGAATTTCCTCAGATTTTTTTACCATTTTTAATTATTGTCTTTTTTTTTTCTCAACTTATATTAGTGATTCGTGATTCAGAAATAGATAAACACCAAACGACGATGTGACTTTCACATTTTATGAAATGACAAAATGAATAGTTTGAGTGGTGATAATTAGAGTCTTTTGTCTTGTATATTTATTTTCTAGACTATAATTTCCCCCAAAAATTATTATTAATCTATCTTTCGTTGGAAATTAACAGGAGAAAGTGTCTAATTCATAAAAAAATAAACCAGTGAAGTAAGTTTTGCAAATCCAAGTTATTTCTATTTGCTATGATTGGGTCAATAGAAAATAGATAACAGTTATTCAATTCTTAATGAATTAGAAAGGATAAATCCATTACCAATAAAAGTCAGAAGATTTAAAAACTAACTAAGAGCTAATCTCAGGATTTTTGTTGCCAATTTTGAAATAAAAACGAACAGACAATCTTTGATTGCATTCCTTAGTCATGCAACCTACACTCTTTAAACCAGTCTATATTCCTTATCATACTCAATTTAAATTAATTGAACAATCACATAGTAATTGTATTTATCAAAGTATTTGTACTTCTGATTCTATTCATTCTCCAAAAATCCCATGTATAGAAAGGAAACAATCTTCAATAACATCAGAAGATCATTGTTTAACACGTTTAACACCACGAAATTTAAGACTGGCAAATCTTATTGAAATTGATAATACACAACGAAATAAAAGAGTGTATCAATGGCTCCAAACACCAAAGAATGAACTTTATCCTATTCCATGTTGTTATTAACATTGCTGTATATTGAATTATATTAATTTAATTTGTTTTTCATTCAAATATTTTATATCATTAGGTAGATTAAATAAATCAAATCATTCTTATTTCTTTAGATAGACAATATATATTTTTAGAATATTAAAAAGGAAATTTAAAAATTTTTACATATAAATTTGTTATAAATAACAATCTATAAAAAGAAAAAGAAAATGGACTTGAATTGAATTGATTATGCACCGTCCAAAATACACTCAGTTTTTAAGTAATAATGAAGAACATGATATTAGTAAATTAAGAGGAGAAAAATTTAATATTTTACAAGGATTATTTATACAACCATTTTTGCATTATACAGAAGTATTAGTTATAGTCACAGATATTAATATATCAGTTGTAGATATTTCAGGAAATGATTTTATTATTTTCCCACCATTTATTCATCAAATAGATAATATTCAAGTAACAAAAGGATGTTTTATTAAAGACACAAATTGTTTTTATCTTATTTCAACACAAACGTTATATTGTTTTGAAGTAGTAAAAAGAGATCCATCATCTCTTCCTCTTTCAGTGTATCGACCTTCAACAACATTTTATTTGTATCCAAAACTTATTAATAAAATTGAATTTGCAAAAGAAATTATAGGAATTTTTCCTTTTGATCAAAGTGTACTTATATCATTTATTGATAATACATTTACATCATCAACACAACCAAATTCTGGATTTAAAATACAAAATGGTCAAATGGATATGACTGTAGAAGATATTGATGTTACTTCTTTAATTATTTCATCAGAATGTACATCTATGATTTATAGAAGAAATGATATGACAATAGTCTTTGCTGGACTTGTAGAAGGAAGTTGTCTTCCAATTATTAAATCAACATTTATTTTACCAACAAATATTAAAAGTTATATTATTAGTGAAACATATTATTTTGCATTAATAGATGAAGACAATAAAATTCTTATTTACCAATATTCTCCATTGAATTTTACATGTCATAAAGTTAAAATAATACAAAAGTCTATATATTGTAATATTGACACTAATACATTTACACCTAAAATTCAATTTCTTCCAAATAACAATCTTATTATTCAATGTAATGGATTATCTACAATAATTACACCAAATGGAATTGTTATTAATTCAATTGAAGAAGAAGGAAATTATCTTATTGATTCAAATTGTTGTAGATTATTTAAAATACCATTATTTCATTCTCAATTAATTGTTAATGAAACAAAATTAATGAACACTATAGAAATGAATGACCTTGCTATTCAATATACTTCTACAACAATTAATATTATAACAAATACAATTCATTCAACAAAAAAAGTTTATTCTTTTATTATTCCACAAGAATTATTATGTAAATATTTTTATTCTATTCAATCTATTTCTGTTTATCCTATTAATGATACTTATCTCTTTATTTTAAAACAACCTCAATCACTTGTTTTATTTGATTCTATTTCTTCTATTCAAGCAGTAATTCCAATTGATCTTTGTATTTTAAATAATACTATTTCATGGGAATTTGATAAAGGGACTTTAATATTATTTCAATTATCATCATCTTTACTTCATATTTTAGCTTATAAATATCCTAATTTTACTTTACCAATTTATGATTCGATTGAAATTATTCCTCCTTTAGAAAATATTCAAATAACTAAAAAACACATTAAATCATCTTCTACACAAAATTTAAAATCAAATCAATTTATTGATTTATCTAACTCAATTAATTCTTTTGGTATTCTTTTAACAAATATTAAAGAAAGTTTTGTATATACATTAATTGGTTTTCCTAATCAAATAGGATTATTGACTTGGAAAATTGGTTACAAAAATAATTTATTCACATTTCAATTAATTAAATCATCTTCATTAATTCGTAATGATTCTATTGACCTTCATTCATCAATTCCAATTCAATTTACATCATCATTTTCTTCATCTGATTATTCTTCTCCAAAAACAACAATTATATTATGGTCAAATTTTGTTGTTACTTTAACCAAGTCAGATTCTAAAAACCCATGTGAAATTATAAATGATAGTGTTCATTCAATATCAATTCCTTTCAAAAATATCTTATTAGTACAACAAACTGGAAATGTAGTTATTCGTCATTTAGATTCACTCTTTTATACATTTACTATTCCTGTTAAACTTTCTTTACTCATAACATCTCCTCCTTATTTAACTGTTCTTTCACCTGACTTCCCATCCTTACAATCTCAAATACAATTTAGTCGTCCTTTTTCACTTAAAAGAGGTCTTTCCATTCTATCAGACTCAACCGAATTTTCAAATTCAACTTCACTTATTAGTCCAAGTCTTCCTTCTCCCAGTTCTCTTTCAAGTTCAATAACACCATCAATAAGTCAAGGACTTATTAATGAAAACGAAATTATTCAGCCATATAATAATTCTCCTGGACTTATTCCATCAACAACAAAAGATATTACAATGCCATTATGTGAAGGATTAAAAGAATATAATTATCTTGGAGAAATTATGTTAGTTGAATTAACAAATGGAAAAGGAATTAAAGAGATAGAAGAAGAATTTGGAAATGATACACAAATATGGGAAAATGAATTAGCAAAATGTATGTGTAAAGTAACAGAAGGATATCATGATAAGAAAATTGGATATACAACATATGAAACTGTTGTAAATTATATTTCAAGAAATGAAAATTCAAGAAAAATTATTTTAAATGCATCAACATTAATAAAAAATGAATATTGGAATGAATTATTTGAAATTGTAGATTCACCTATTGTTATATTTATTGATTGTTTAGAAAAAGAAGAATATGAAGATGCTATTAAATGTTTATTAATTATTATAGAATGTTATAATAAACCAGTAGCATTACAATATTCTATTGAATTAATTCAGACATTATTTGAAAAAAATACTCAACTTCAGTTAATACCAGAAATAGTATCTATCTTTTTTAAAGACATAAATATTATTGTATCAACAGAAGAAAGTGCTATTAGTAATTATTTATTTGAGTTAATTAAAAGATGTATTTATCAATTATTAGAAAGAAATTCTTTTGAAATTCTTTATAAATTCTGTGAAAAAGATAATCCATTCTTAATTAAATGTTTTGATGTTGATTCTCCACCTGAAATAGATATTCTAGATGGTTTAAAAAAAGCACAGTATTTTGTTAAATTACATTCTCCTCAACGTGTTTTATCATTTGGTAAAATCTTACTTGAAAATAAACATTATACTCAAACTTTATTATTTGGTATTTCATCTAAATTAAAGGCATTACTTATATTTGACCAATCATATTATTATCTTGAATTACTTAGTAATGAATTTCAATATACTAATCTTGAACTTGCTGAATTACTAAAAAAATATCGAGACCTTTCACAAAATATTCAACCGTCTTTATTATCTTTATAACAATTATTTGTTATTTTTTATTTCACTTATTTATATATTTTGTAACTTTTTATAAAATAAAATAAAACATTAACAATAAATGAATGTGTTATTTTCCTTTTTTTTTGAGATTAACCAATGGTAATTGTTGTTATTTTACTATTGGTATATCCATATCCTTTAATAATTCCAATAGCACTCTCTTCCATTTTAAATGGTGAATTTTCATATTGTACTAAAATTATACTATCAACATCACTAACATCTTTTCCATTTAATGTTAATTGACTAATGGCTCCATTCATTGGATGGAAAGATGGATTGTGAGCACAACTCTCAATATAATTTCCAAGATAAATCTCTTTTCCTATAACAAGTCCAACACCTAAATAACACATTAGATTATCAACATGACTGTCTTTTGCACAATCAATTACTTGATTAATAAATTTCATATCAACATCATC